GCTTGGAAACTGGTACAGCCGCCACAGAAAACAGTATGAGTTTCCTCAAAAATCAAAAATAGAATTACCATATGATCCAGCAATTCCACTTCTGGGAATGCATCCAAAGGAAACATAAACACAAACCAGAAAAGATGTCTGCACCCCCACGCTCCTAGCATCATTTACAAGCAACGAGACATGGGGACAACCTAAGTGGCTACTGACAGATGAATGGGTGCAGAAGCCCACAGAGATAGATAGATACAGATATCATGGAATATTATTCAACCGTCAGAAGATGAGGAAATCCTGCCACTTGCACAAACACAGACAGACCTCAAGGACATTATGCTAAGTTAGATACATCAGATGGAGAAAGACAAATGTTTGCATGATTTCACTTATGTGTAAAATTTTTTTTTTTTTAATCTCATAGACAAAAATATTAGAGATGGGGTGGGGGAAGGGGAGTTGGAGGAAGGTGCTGGAAAACTACAAACTTCCAGTCATAAGTCCTCAGAAGGGAATGTACACTGAGATATGGTATATATGAAAGGTGTAAGAAAGGAAATCTAAGAGGTCTTACCACAAAGAAAAATTGTTTCTTTCTATTGGACCGATAGGAGAGGATAGATGCCCGCTCAACTTTTGACAGTAGTCACTTCGCAATAAATACCCAAACCATTATGCTGCACACCTTAAGTTATGCAGGGATATATGTTAATTATCTCTCAATAAAATTGGGGGGAAATAGCTCCTTTCCAGTGAGCTCCAATTACTGGCTGACACGCCTCTTCCCCCAAGGTTGCTCAGCCTCTTGCCAAGTGAGACTGGATGACTCGTTGTGATGAGTGGGCTGGTCTTTAGCAGCAGCATCCCTGGCCTCTTCCCAGGAACCTCGTGCACCATCTCTCCAGCAGTGACATAGAAAATGTCTCCAGACGTTGTCAAAGGTGCCCGCCCCTGGAAGCAACCTACTCCCCATCAGGAACCACTGCTTAAAATTCTGAGCTCCTTGAATGATACTATAAACAGCAGCAGCAGCAATATCTAACTTTTTTTTTTTTTGCATACTCACCACATGCCCAGCACAGTTCAAAGCGCTTCTCATGAATTACAGAATTTAATCCTCTCATTGCCCCAAGGGTGAGAGGTTTTCAGCACATTTTATTGATAATGAAATAGAATCACGGAGAGGTTTCTAACTTGCTCAAGGTGCATTTTATTCTCCTGTTTCCTATCCCCAAATCTAGCCTGATACAACGGAAGTTCAATAACAATGTAAAGAATGCACAGATGAATCTATTAATCAGACAGTCTCCTCCATAACAGCATCGAGGTCAGGGATGGTGACCCATCTGTCTCCTCTGCCGTCCCCCAGTTCCCCGAAAAACTCCTCCCCAGCTATAGCTCTTTTAAGCTATCCAGGCATTTCATGGGGGTTAGGCTGTTCCAGTGGTTCAGATGGTAAAGAATCTGCCTGGAATGCAGGAGACCCGGATTCGATTCTGGGTCAGGAAGATCCCCATGACCGGCACCTTCACTCTAGTATTCTTGCCTGGAAACTCCCATGCAAAGAGCGGCCTGAAGGGCCACAGGCCTCGGGGTCGCAAAGAGTCAGACACAACTGAGCGACTACCACTCAAACTGTTCCAACTATCTGTGTTAATAATGTGAACTACACCTTCCAAACTAGCTCTACGAGTGGTTCACTCAATTTAGCCAGGAGTCCCGACAACACCAGATAAATACCACCAATCTAATCTTTTACCTATTAGATACAATAAAAATATTGCTGAGATACAATAATACTATTTTTTCCAGCTTAGAACACAGCACCCTGCAAACCCTCCTAAATAGCATACTTCTAATGAGCACTCCAGAGAGCGCTGCCCAGAGGACACCCTAAAGTGACCGGCCGCTCCCTGGTCCAAAGGTGTTGCCACTTACAGCCTATGAAGGAAGCAGTGGACTGAAGGGCAGCGCATAATAATGCGCTTCTTTGTTATTATTATTGGCTGTGCTGGGTCTCCACTGCTGTGAGGGCCTTTCCCCAGCTGCGGCGGGCCGGGGGTCCTAACTGGGACGCACCGGCTTCTCATTGCAGCGGCTTCTCTTGCCGCGGAGCACGGGCTTCAGCAGTTGTCTCACAAGGGCTCAGGAATCGTGGCCCCGGGCTCTCGAGAGTGGCTCAACAGCTGTGGGACACAGGCTTAGTTGCTCCACAGCATGTGGCATCTTCCCGGACCAGGGATTGAACCCGTGATTCCTGCACTGGCAGGCAGGTTCTTTACCCCGGAGCCACCAGGGAAGCCCCAGCAATGTGATTCTTAATTGACACAGGTTCAGCATTTTAACTGCTTAACCTTCAAAAACTGTAGACAAACAGAGGTATAAACCCTTACACCACAGCAGATGGAGGCCTTACTGTGTCCCATATCCAGGACTGAGAGTCAGTGCATACAAAGAGGGGGGTGCGGAAAGCAATGCTTCCTGTTAGACAGCAAGGACTCCATGGATAGAAGGTGCCTAGCTCACGATAGATACCTAACAAAGGGTGGATTGTTACATTGTTATAAAAATGATCTCGCGAAATGACCTTGCGTACACACACACACACCCATTTCACAGAGGAACCTCTGAAGTCAAGGGATGGGTCTCAACAGCAACACCAGAACTACCCTCTGTCATCCTGTCCTTCATTCTAGCTTCTGAATTCTTTCATAAAGGAAAAGACCAAAGAATGGACAATAGGGAAATACTGAGTTAATAAAGAAATGTATGAATAAGCTCAGATACCTCATGGCATCACTACTGTTAGAGATTTCATTTGATATCTCATTCCAAAAGCATTTCTCTCTTGGGTAATAATTAGATGCAAAGCCATGCAGAGGCTACATGTGTATGCAAAGATAATAAGACATGATCCCTTTCCCCAATATCTCATCATCTAAGGAAGGAAAATTTGGGCATGAGTCCAGATTAAATCCAGGCCACCTATTAGGTTATTACATGTACTGCAACTAATTAAAAAGGGTCTCATTACATGTCAATGCAGCATGTACAATTCCTTATTTAAAATTACTCCAGAATTATGTTCTCCATTCTTTACAGCAATCTGAGCCTTACACCTGTGCTAAACAGATTAGCACAACACTCTCATCATCACAAAACTGTTAGTATTTTCCCATGAAAGGAGGGGAAAAAAAGACAAGGCCATCTAATAAAGAGTGATATGAAACATTGCCCTTATCTTTTTAAATTGTAAGGTTTTATTTTTTTAATAAAACATGTAGGACATAGTATGAAGTCATATGCATTCCCAGAAGGAAAATGTGTATTTCTGTTAAACTTAAGAGTCAAGTCTGAGGTGGCTCAGTGGTAAAGAATCCGCCTACCAAAATAGGAGACGTGGGATCGATCCATGAGTCGGGTAGATCCCCTGGAGAAGGAAATGGCAACCCACCCCAGTATTCTTGCTGCAAATCCCATGGACAGAGGAGCCTGGTGGGCTACAGCCCATGGGCTCGCAAGAGTCAGACACGACTTAGTTTCTAAACCACCACCACCAAGTCAGATTATAGAAACATTTAAAAGGTTATATACTAACAAGAAAAAGAATACAGCTACAATAAAGGGGCCAGATCATAAGCAGCCTCAGAATTCTCCTGCCTATCAGTGGAGCTGAAGATAAATAAATAAGCCAGCCCAGACTTGTGACTCCTATGGCAAACTGATGTGTAGTAACCATTAGAATGTTCTATTGGATTATACTTGCTTTACAACATTGTGTCACTTTCAGTTATACACATATGTACTCTCAACTGNCCTTGGGGTTCACAGGTAGCTCAGTTGGTAAAGAATCTGCCTGCAATGCAGGAGACCCCAGTTCGATTAATGGGTCGGGAAGATCTGCTGGAGAATGGATAGGCTACCCAACTCCAGCATTCTCCTACCATTAGAATTTCATGTGGGTCACACCAGGGCCAAAAGGAATTGTGGAAGCTGTCTTCTCCATCCCTCTGCCTTCCAAACTTTAGGGTCCCCAGAAAAACGGGGCTCTCCCTTGCCTCTGTAAGCGTCACCGCCCTCCTCCAGCATGCCTCGTGGTTCAGGAGGGTGTGCAGATTGGAAACCAAACGGCAGCCTCAGAAGCTCCGCCCTCCGCCACCTCCACGGGGAAGTCCTCCAACTGGGCTCTCAGCAGCCTCCCTCTCCTCTTCCTGGGACTTGGTCCTCTCTGCCTGAGGTGCTTCTCAAGCCTCCTGTTTCCCCCCACCCCCTCCGCCTTAGATGACTCCCTGTCCCCCACACTCCCGTCCAGTCTCCCTTCGCCCCGCCACCACCACTCCACCTCTGCGTCCTCTGCCTGGCTTCCGCAGGCAGGACCCCAAAGTTCTCCACCTCCATTTTTTAAAATATTTTTTCCTTCCTATCCAAAATACAGGAAGGCCCCAGCACAGTGCCCGACACACAGTGAATGTCCCAAACAGCTCCTCGCTCATCGCTGTTACGGCTGTCCTGACTGCTTCATCCTCGCAAAGCCACCCAAACCTCTCCAAGTCTCTGCGGCCTCCCCACCCCACTTCCGGTGGCCTTTTCTCTGCCCCATTCTCACTCCCCTGGGACAGGTTAAGACACCCCTGCTTGCTTAAAATTCTTTCTCTGGCTTCCAGGCCACCCTCTTACCCAGCATCTCACACAGAGGTAACGGTTAATCAGCCTACATAAGTGGCTTTGAACTTGACAATCCAAAGCCCTCCGCCTGCTGCAGCCGCTGCGCACCGCATCCCAGAGAGAAGGATGCAGATCGCCGCCTGCTGCTGTGTGGTCGGGGGGACCCTGCCCTGCACCCCGTCACAGGTCTCCACTCAAATGTCACCTCCCAGCGAGGTCCCCCTCACCATCAGAGGCACCATCATGGACCGAAGGCAAGGCTCAGTGAGCCAGAAAGACAGAGGTCCAGGCCGCCCTCTCCCCCCGCGGGCGAGGCGCTGGCCGCCTCCCTCCCTGCTCACCTGGATCAGCGTCTCCAGCTCCTGGGGGCTCACGCAGACATGGTCCCGCAGGAATTCCGCCTTCTCCAAGGCGATAGTGTTCTTTTGGCTGCTCTCAAAAGGCTGCTCCAACGCCCGGAAGACGAGACCACCCGTGACGAGGTAGACCACCACGACCACGAAGATGGCAACCACTGTCTTCCACTTCATGACGGTCTGCAGGCCCCCCTGGGCCGCGCCTTCCATCCTGGCTACGACCGCGGCTCGGGAGGACACGGCGAGGCGAGGCGCCGGGGGAGCCCCGTTAGCGGCGGCCTTGGGCGGGCACGCCGGGGGCGCTGCTGCAGGAACGGCCACTGGGAAACGGGGCGGGCGAGAGGGAGAAGAAAGTTCGTTTATAAACACACAACCCACCGTGTCACCGCGCGTACGTCTTTCGCAAGCCGGCTGTCAAACGCGAGGATTCAACATGGGTCCCCCAAGCCCGCAGTGAGGGAACTCAACCAGTTGCTAGGTGTCTGCTTGAATGATAAAAGCTGAGCACCTGGGGTTCTAGTTTTCAAAATAATGATAATATTAATTGAGTCTGAAATGTGGATATTTCTCTACAAGGGTCCAACTCTGAAAGCCATGTCTCTATTATTTATCATTCACCTCCTCCCTCCAGTTTCTTGTTAAGCAATGTGTAAGATAGACTACAAGCTTCCCTGATAGCTCAGCTGGTAAAGAATCCGCCTGCAACGCAGGAGACCCGGGTTTGATTCCCGGTCCGGAAGATCTGCTGGAGAAGGGAAAGGCTACCCACTCCAGTGTTCCTGGAATTCCCTAGTGGCTCAACTGGGAAAGAATCCTCCTGCAGTCTGGGAGACCTGGGTTCCCTGGGTTGAGAAGATCCTCTGGTGAAGGGAAGAGCTACCCACTCCAGTATTCTGGCCTGGAGAAGTCCATGGACCGTACAGTCAATGGGGTCGCAAAGAGTTGGACATGACTGAGCGACTTTCACTTTCAATTTCAAGATAGACAACAAACCACCATATTTTAAAAAGAAATGTACTGTTCAATTTGGAGAGGAATAAGGAGGAAAAGGATACCCAGCAGCTTTGTCCAAGCACTGAGGGCTAGGTGATACCAAAAGTATAGAAGATATGAGCATCTGGCAAGTTTAAAAGTTCCTTTGAGGTCACAGAAGAAGGGTGAGCTTCCCATACAACAGAAGGGTCCAAACTCAAACACGGCACCTCTCAGATCACGATGGAGGAAAGGGCACGGAGCTCACTTCCCCTATGAGCTGTGCCCCTGGGAGGGGACTCAGGAGAACGGAGATTAAACTGGGCAAAGGCTCTCCCTGGGAAGCATATAGAGTGGGGGCCCTACCCCTGGAGTTTTATTAAAAATGAACTCCCCTGGAGGGCTGGTGGGACTAACAGGAAGCCGTGGGAAGCCTGGACTCCACTCAAGAAGAGCGTGCTTGTGCTGGCTCATTCCCAAAGCAGGACAGAGAGAGAAAACTGAAACCGCGCAGGTGGCCAACTGGTCTACCACAGCTACNGAAAACTGAAACTGCGCAGGTGGCCAACTGGTCTACCACAGCTACTTCAGTGTGTGTGCCAGCCTGAGCCGGGGGAGCATTCCAGCCCCGCCTGTCTCACATCACAGTTCCACGGTGGGATGGGAGCTGCTATGACCAAGGAGGACCTCAGCTGTGAGACACCAAGGCAGCTCAAACCTGAAGCAGCACCTGAGCAGGATGGAGGCAGACATTGCTCTCAGAGCGGGCAGGCCCCTGACGACAGCCAGACCACCACAGTCTGTACCCCAGCCCTCACCAAGTGCCTGGGACAGCCCCTCTCACTCCCCCGGAGTGAGGGTGCCAGTGCTAGGAGGGAAAGCGCGCACACTTGAAGGGAGACGAGCTAGCTTGGAAGCTCAGCCCTCAGAGATTCTGCTTCAACAACCTGGAGGCTGACCTTGCCCCCCCCACGCCCGCCCAGCAAACAGTGATGATGGGCACTCGGCACAGAAGCCCCGGGCACACCTGTTCCAGCCCTAGACCCTCCGCCTCCTACCAAGGCGGTAGCTGTCAGCACAACCCGAGGAAGGATGTCACTTGTGTTCCCATCACATCCAGCTCTTCCACCAAAGCCACTGGGCAGGAACTCCAACACAAAGAGCAACAGAGAACTACCTTCCCTAATTTCATAAAGATAGAGAGAGATAAGGAAAGTGAGAAGACAGACAAACTTGTCTCAGTTGGAAGAGCAAGAGAAAAACCCCTGAAAAACATAATTAATGAAACCAAAATAAATGACTTACCAAATGAAAATTCAAAGCATTAGTAATAAGAACACTAACTGAATTAGGGAAAAGAATAGAGTAACACAGTGAGAATTTTAACAGGGAACGAGAAAATAAAAGGAACCACTCAGAACCAAAGAAAACAATAGCTGAAATAAAAACCCACTAGAAGGACATAACAGCAGGCTGGCTGACACAGAAAAAATACATAAGGGATCTGGAAGACAGAACAGTGGAAATCACCCACCACAGCCTAAAGAAAAATAAATTTTAAAATGAGAACAGTTTAAGAAATCTCTAGGATAACATCAAGTGTACCAACATTCCCACTATAAAGGACCCAGAAGGAGGAGAGAGAGAGATAAGGGGGCTGAAAATACATTTTATGAAATTCTGACTGAAAACTTCCCAAATCTAAAGAAAGAAACATACATCCAACTACAGGAAGAACAGAGGGTCTCAAACAAGATGAACCCAAACAGACAGACACCAAGATATAACATAATTAAAATAGCAAAACTTAAAGAGAGAATTCTAAAGACAGCAAGAAAGAAAAAAAACAGTCATATACAAGGGATCCCCCAGAAGGCTATCAACTGATTTTTCTGCAGAAACTTTGTAGGGAAGACGGGAGTTTCATGACATATTCAAAGTACAAAAAGGGAAAAACCTGCAACCTAGGACACTCTACCCAGCAAGATTATCGATTAGAATTGAAGGAGAGACAAAGAACTTCTCAGATAAGCGAAAACTAAGAGTTCATCAATACTAAACCAACCCTAAAAGAAAGGTTAAATGGTCTTCTCTAGGCAGAAAAGAAAAGACTACAAGAAGTATCTATAGATAAAGAAAAAAAAATCTCATTAGTAAAGGAAAGTACATAATAAAGTCTGAGGTTCAACCACTTAAGTAAGCTAGTATGAAGATTAAAAGACAAAAAATGTTGTTAAATCAAGTATAACTATAATAATCAATAGAGGGATAAACATGAAAATGCAAAATATTACATCAAAAACAAAAAAAATATGCGTGAAAGAGAAGTAAAACATGTAGATTTTTTAGAATGTGTTTGAACTTAGAGGACTACCTGTTTAAAACAAATAGATACAGTTGTAGGTCAACATATAAGAATCCCATGGTAACCACAAGTCAAAACTTAGAATACACAAAAACAAGAGAGAAAAGAATACAAGCGTACTGGTAGAGAATATCATCAAACAAGCCAGGGAACTAAAAGAACAAGAAAGTACTATAAAAACAACCAGAAAGCAAGTAATAAAATGACAATAAGTACACACACATTGTTACTATAAATGTCAAATAACTAAATGCTCCAGTTGAAAGATATAGGGTGACTGATTGGATAAGAAAACAAGACCTATGTATAAGCTGCTTTCAAGAGATTTACTGCAGAACTAAAGACAGACAGAGACTGAAAGTGAGGGAATGAAAAAAGAAACAATGTCATGCTCATCATAGCAACAAGAAAGTAGAGGTCGCAATACCCATATCAGACAAAACATACTTTAAAACAAAGTCAGAGGAAAAGGCAAGGAAGGGCATTACATAATGCTAAATGAATCAATACAAGAAGAGGATATTACACTCATTAACATACACGTGCCCACTACAAGAGCATCTAAATCTATAAAGCAAATATTAACACACATAACAAGAGATATTGACAATACTATAATAGTAGGGGACTTTAACTTACACTGACATACAGGTCATATAGATAGAAAACCAATAAGGCAACACTGGTCTTAAATGAGGGGCTTCTCAGGTGGCCCAGGGGTAAAGAATCCATCTGCCAAGTCAGGAGATGCGAGAGATGCGGCTTTGATCCCGGGTCAGGAAGCTCCCCTGGAGAAGGAAATGGCAACCCCCTCCAGTCTTCTTGCCTGGAGAACCCCATGGGCAGAGGAGCCTGACAGGCTGCAGTCCATGGGGTCGCAAAGAGTCAGACACGACAGAATCAAATTAGCACACAGGCAGCCAGGCAGCCTCCCCTAAAGACATTGTACTCAGATTTCTACCTGCCCTTGCTGCCACGGGGACGCCCAGCCAGGTCCAGGGCCGCTTTCTTTCCATTTTGCCCTCATCTCCCATTCACCCGTCCTCCTCACTGCATCCCGGTCCCTGGCACCTCTCACCGTCACTGTGGCCTCCGCCTCACCCAGGCCACCATCACACCCTGCTCGGTCCAGTCCAAAGGCCTCACCAGGGACCTCCTGGCTTCCACTTTCACCCACCTCCTGAGCCGTAAGTCTGGGGTTCCAAATTGTGGCAATGAAAGGAAGAAAGAGGAATGAGCTTTGCTTTCGGAAATGAGATTTTCTTTCTTTTCTTTCCCTTTATTGAGGACAAAGAATATAAAGAGAATAGGCCCAGGTTTTACTTCGTTCCTAATCTCTAGTCTATAACTAAGTTGGCCCTCCTCAAAACTAACCTAACTCTGCACTGAGCTACATCCTGCACCTACCACCATTTGCCTCTATGCTGATTACACCCTGGGCCTTCACTGCGCTCCCTTTGCAGACCACTCTCTGTAGCTTTTTGTGTTTCAGAAAGAAGGCCGCAGCACAATAAACCAGGGACAAACGAACCCAACGAGCCTACGCCCGCTGTGATTTTTTAAACACAGTGTTTAGGAGTTTAAACACTCCTAAACAAAGTAAGGAGAAGAAGAGGGGCTTCCCTGGTGGCTCAGCAGCAAAGAATCTGCCTGCAATTCGGGAGCCGCAAGGGACGTGAGTTCGATCCCTGGGTCGGGAAGATCCCCTGGAGGAGGGCATGGCAACCCACTCCAGTGATCTTGCCTGGAGAATCGTGGACAGAGGAGCCTGGTGGGCTACAGTCCATGGGGTTGCAAAGAGTCAGACGCAACTAAAGCAACTCGGCACACACACAAGAAGGTAAGACCTTCATTACTTTGAGCCTTATCATTTTCCCTAAAACCATGAGACCCAGGCTATGGACAGTGTCTCAGTCCCCCCGGGAGGGGGTCACAGTTCTTGAGGCACTAGCCTGCTGTGTTTCCCCCTCTGCCAGCTGAGGA